AATTAAATTAAATATCTGAAGTGTCTCTCTCTCTCCCCCTCTCCCTCCCTCTCCCTCCCCCTCACTTTCTCTCTCTCCTGCCCTCTCCCTCCCTCCCTCCCTCCCTCTCTCTCTCTCTCTCCCTCCCTCCCCCTCTCTCTCTCATGCACCTGCCCAGTACCTTTTATGCTGGTATTTAAATGCACCCATCAACTCCATTGATCTTTATCTAGAAAGGCAAAGACACTTGCATTGCGATCTTAAATCCCCTTTCCTTGGGAGTAAGCATCATTGAACTGGATTGGGATTTACCGGGACTTAGACGGGATTTTGAGCCGCCTCGAACCGATAACCGATGCTCACGCTCCTGCAGATCGTAGGAGCCCCATAGGGAGTCACCGTTCAGACGGTGAAGGCCTCTTTCGAGATTGAAATAGATTTCTTGGACTGCTCAGATCGTTCGTCTTCTCAGGATGCGATTTCAATCAGAGGGGCAACAACATGATGAATCGTTTGACAAGACTTCTGCGTTTCCGTTCCCCTCCCTTCCCGCTCGCAGAGGCTAAAATGTAATACACTTCATACACACACATACCTCAGTCCTTCGCGGCTGTTACGGACTTTAACATGCAATGTGACCTTGGCCAGCCAAAGGGTGTTTGGTTAGCACAAAATCTTAATCATGAGAAGTCGTAAGTAGGAGTCTTCTTCTTTACTGCCCCCTTTCCCTCCCCCCCACCCTCCAGCCCCGGGCTTGGAAATTTATGGTTGGGGAGACAGGTAGGATATGAGTAGTAGGCCAAATGGAGTACAGGGTTATCTCATCTCTGTGAAAATGGCTCTCGGAAATCGATGTGACCTCTGCTAGGCTGTCACCGTATCCCCACCCTTAGTGTCCTATTTGTCTTTTTGGTCAAGAGCTCGGATCTGGGGGGCTTGTCTCCCTGGCTCTCTCTTGGGCCAGATTATCAAAATGAATCATGGCCTGCGTGGCTGTTATATTTCTATTTATTTCCCTGCTGTTGACTAGCCGGGGTGAAATATGACTTCTGTTTGCATTTGATCCTTACTGCAGCCACTGGCACCTAATTTAGCTCTGTCTATCTCTTTAAAGAAGACTAATGCTACTTTGGAACTTCAATCTGCCCTACCTTAACGTTACCAGCCATTGACTCTGCGGCTGCCGCCAGCAGATATGAATTTTTGTATGGTCCATTTTCGTGGCGTTACTTTCTCCTTGCTCAGGATTGCGAGGTTGTTTTAAGACAGCATGCTGCTCCAAATCCATTTCTTACAAACCCTCTCTCTTTCTCTCTCTTTCTCTCTCTCTCTTTCTTTCCTTCCTTCTTTCTTTTTCTTTCTTTCTTTCTTTCTTTCTTTCTTTCTTTCTTTCTTTCTTTCTTTCTCTCTCTCTCTCTCTCTCTCTCTCTCTCTCTCTCTCTCTCTCTCTCTCTTGCTCTCTCTCTCTCCCCCTCCCTCTTTCTCTCTCTCTCTCCCTCCCTCCCTCTCTCTCTCCTCTTCCCTTTCTCTCTCTTCTTCGATTTACCTTACTATTTTGCTGTTTTAGGGCAAAGCAGTTAAGACAGTATCCATTTGTAAAATTATTTGCATGAAATATCTAAGTAATAACACACACACATAATTATAGCCTCATAAGGGAAGAGTGTGTGTTGTTAAGATTGATTTTCAAAAAGATGTGAAGTAAGATTATTTTTTTTAAAAAAAAGAGAGATAATCATAATTGGGAGGTCAGGCAAAACAGAATGGTTAAACCTTTATCTGAAATATTAACTGTAGTGATATTACAAGAAGCAGAATCTTAGCAACCCAAAAGAATCTGCTGTAATGTAGGCTGAACCATCCTAAACAATGATTGCTCAGAACATGGGGTAGCTTATATTCTTAATCAATCTTAAAGAGTAATATGGAACTACAAGTATCAACAACCCCTGCTAGCATGGCCAGTAATGAGGAATGCTGAGAGGTGAATCCAACATCTGGGCAGGGAGTTGGACTAGAAGACCTGCAAGATCCCTTCCAACTCTGTTATTCTATTCTATTTTAATTCAAAAAAAATTACTACCGGTTCTGTGGGCGTGGCTTGGTGGGTGTGGCAGGGGAAGGATACTGCAAAATCCCCATTCCCTCCCCACTCCTGGAGCCAGCCTAAGGTGGTATTTGCCAGTTCTTCGAACTTCTCAAAATTTCCGCTACCAGTTCTCCAGAACCTGCTAAATAGCACCCCTAATCTGGAGAGCTGTGGATTCTCCGCCTCTTATCTACAATGTGGCTACAAACCATTGAGGACGTCTTTAGAGCTTCGACATTCACAAGAAGCATTATCACTTGCTCGGTGTATATTTTATAGCCTAGTCATTTAAAGGCAAAAACCAACTCACATAATTTCATGGTTTCCTCTTAAATCAGGTTAGGACAGACCACCGAAGGATGTATAGAGTGAAGTTTCAAGTGTTGAATTAAATGTTTTTGGAAGGTTTCCAAAATGGGTGTCAGAGCCTGATCTGCTTGAGCAATTGCTTTGGTCCCAGTGATCTAGGAGAAGACTTTGCAAACATCTATCTTGGATCCTTATTTCATTTAATTTTACATTGCTGTCCAAGTCTCCAAAAGATGCTGAAAGGTCACTCTAGCCTGTAGTTTTATTTCCCACATTGTCAAATAGTACCCTGGAGGTCATTTATATGGTGTCTAACATCCTTTTCATTTCTCGCACCACTTTTAAAAAAATCGTTTCACTATTATTAATCATTTTAAAATTGTTGGAATTTCTTGATAGAAATGTACTGCTTAGCTGTGTTGCTCAAAAAGGAATGAACCAATGGAATTCTAGTGAATTTAGGATTTCAGGTGGATGGTTATATAAATCAAATAATTAAATAAAGAAAATACATGGCTCCAGTGGAGATAATGTATGAGGCATGGTGACTCAGTGGCTTAAAAGACAATGGAGAAGGTCTGTGCTCCGCCGGTTCAAGTCCTGCCACCATGTGATGGGGTAAGCTCCTGTTCCTACCTCAGCTCCTGCCCACCTAGCAGTTCGAAAGGAATGCAACTGCAAGTAGATAAATAGGTACCACTTCGGTGGGAAAATAATAGTGTTCTGTGCTTTGCCATATACTCTACACTGCGGTGTGATGTCATACTGGCCACATGATGGCAGAACAATTGCTGTATGAGAAGTCATTAAATGAGGACTACCTGTATGCAGAGGTACATTATCTCCAATAAAGATAAACCTGAGTTTTTCCAGGTTTTACTCTGCTAGTCGTAACTGACTTTAGGAGTCAGTACTAATTTCTGTTTCTCTGTTTCTTCAGACAGTGCTGGCTCAGTGGCCTTGAAACAGAGATTATCACTGACTCCTAAACTCTGCTATAAAACTCAGATAAACTCCTTTACCTTTACTGGAGATAATGTAATTCTGCATACTGATAGTCCTCGTTTAATGACCACCCATGCAGCAACTGTTCGATGTTACTGCGGCACTAAAGACGTGGTATTTTTGACTGGTCCTTGAACTTCTGGCTGTTCCAGCACCCCTGTAGTCATATGATTGGGATCTGGGTGCTTGGCACTTGGCAAAAGTGGCTTGTAATTTCTAATTCCTCTCGATGGCTGTTGTTTTTCCTAGCTCAGTTTACTGTAGGAGTGGCAAAAACAATTACGATTACCATTGTTTTCTTTCTCACATTTTTTCCATTACTCTGAACTTCTCTGCAATCTACCCTTCTCAGCTGGAAAAAAAACCTCTGCGGAGGAAGTGCTTCCTCAGGTCTCGGGATTTAATTAAACAATTGAAGCTGACGGAGCTACAAATCGCCAACGCGGTGATTGTGTAACGAAAAGATTGGCCATTTGCACAGATGGTTGGCTTACTTCATCACAGGATAAGTGCAAGAACTCTGCATTCCACCTCAAATTCTCACTTCCTTTGAAAGAAATTTTGGCAGTCAAATTCTCTTCTGTCTTAATTGGACGAGAACTGGCTAGGGAAAAAAATTGCAGGAGAAACTTGACATACCAATATGCGATAAATCGAGTCTTTGGATTTCTGCAGAATCATTACTGGGAACACAAGCAGGAAAACAGCTGTGATGTTTTGGTTTCTATGTAGGCATCATTTAAGGGTCTGATGAGCCACTGAGAAGACGGAATATTGGAATAGATGGTTTGGGGCAAATGTCTTTGTCAGAATGTCCATCCATGAAATGGAATAGGGCATAGCAACAGGTCAGCCAATGAGGGCTGTTTGGTAACTGAAACATAGTATTTGTTGTATGGGACCATAAGAGACAGTTTGGAGCCTGGGTGTGACTTAACTGTTCTGTATATAAGCTTGAAGGCACTAGCTTCTCTCTTCTCCATTTTGCCTCCTCCATTTTTTTTTTGCCTTCTCCATTTTGTGCTGTGTTTGTACTTGCTATTTCTCTTCTCTACAACGTGGAAAAACCTACAAGGCAGGGGTGAAATGTTACCGGTTCGCACCAGTTCAGGCGAACCGGTAGTAATAAATGCTACCGGTTCGTCTGAAGCGGTATTTCCGACGATTAGCTGGGCTGCGCTAGAATCCTGCTTTCTAGCAAATCTAAATCACGCAGCACAGCTGTTCCCCCCTCCCACTGTTCTACTTACCTTCAAAAGGCTCCTTTTTCCGCATGAAGCGTGCGTTTGGTGCGCACTGCACATGCGTGCACAGTTTTCTAAGTTTTTTCCAGTCTTAAATGTTGACTTGAATTCATCATTCATTCTTTCAATTTATAGCCCGAGCTTTCACTCAGACTTTCAAGGTGGGCTATATACCCCTCTCTTCTATTTTTTTCCTCCCAACGAACAGCCCCTAGTTAGGTTGTGTTGAAAAAGTGACTGGGGCTGAAGCAAGATGAGAGCCAGTGTCCCTCTGATGCCAGTTTCACCATCTTAATCCCATTCTCCATCATCGCTCGTTACTCCTCAAGTTACCAGATCGCTTTTAACTCCTCTTTTGTCTCTTGTCTTAACAGAAGAAGTCCAGATCGCCATCCCAATACTCAAACCAACCCTAGAAAAGGTCCAATTGGCCGGGCAGACTTTGCCCCCTGGATTTCCAGCACCATTCCTCTTTGCTGATGGGTTGTCTTCAGTGGAAACTCTATTAACCAATATTCAGGTGAGGAATTCTCTAACGCTATATGTAAATCCATAAAGGAGAGCAAGAATTAGTTGTGTTTAGAAGAATAGAATAGAATAGAATAGAATAGAATAGAATAGAATAGAATAGAATAGAATAGAATAGAATAGAATAGAATAGAATAGAATTCTTCATTGGCCAAGTGTGATTGGAGACACAAGGAATTGTCTTTGGTGCATAGGCTCTCAGTGTACATAAAAGGGCAAGATACGTTCATCAAGAATCATAAGGTACAACACTTAATGATAGTCATGGGGTACAAATAAGCAATCAAATCATTCTAGGAAACAATCAATATAAATCATAAGGATACAAGCAACAAGTTACAGTCATGCAGTCATAAGTGGAAGGAGATGGGTGATAGGAACGATGAGAATATTAATAGTAATGCAGACTTAATGAATAGTTTGACAGTGTTGAGGGAATTATTTGTTTTGCAGAGTGATGGCATTCGGGGAGGTGGGGGGGAAACTGTTCTTGTGTCTAGTTGTTCTGGTGTCCAGTGCCCTATAGCGTCGTTTTGAGGGTAGAAGTTGAAACAATTTATGTCCAGGATGCGAGGGGTCTGTAAATATTTTCACAACCCACTTTTTGATTCGTGCAGTATACAGGTCCTCCATGGAAGGCAGCTTGGTAGCACAGTGGTGGGTTTCACTTACCTTTGCTACTGGTTCGCTCGCTTCTGCGCATGCGCAGATCGTATTTGATGATGTCCGGGCGGGTGGGCGGAGCCTCCCTCCGCAGCTGCTACCGGTTTGCGCGAACCGGTAGCAACCAACCACTGTGATAGCCATTGTTTTTTCTGCAGTTCCAATTATCCGTTGAAGTCTGTGTCTGTCTTGTTGGGTTGCAGAGCCTCCTCTCTTCTTGCATTAATTAGATGTTCTCGTTTGAGGGAAATTTCATCTTGGTCTGTTTTTTTGTTTTTTGTTTTTTACAGGGGTTGCTCAAAGTCGCCGTAGATAATGCCCGAGTGCAGGAAAAGCAAATCCAGCAGGAGAAAAAGGAACTAAAGATGGAGCTTTGCAGAGAAAGAGAATTGAGAGAGAACCTGGAAAGGCAGCTGACAGCTGAGCTGCAAAGCAGAGGTAATCTGAGAGAGAGAAACATTGATAGGAAGAAATGTCTTACGGTCCCAAATGTACTTTTTCGAAAAGCAGCTGGGCTTTCTTGTTTTTCTTTGAAGACGTTTTGCTTCTCATCCAAGAAGCTTCTTCAGCTCTGACTGGATGGTGGGGAAGGGAAGGATTTATATTCCTTGCAGACATCTGGTCATTTGCATCCTTTTAGAGAGTCATTAAAGCCTCTTGGAGGTTTATCTGTGTCCTCAGGGTCGCCTCAATGACTCTTCACCGAATCCCAGACGATCCCAGCTGAGTTGCCTGATCGGCAGAGACTTTTTTTTTTCTTTTAAATGCCTCTGACGATCAGGCAACTCAGCTTGGATCGTCAGAGGCATTTAAAAGAAAAAAAGGTTTTTTTTTCTTTTAAAAGCGTTTGAGGATCCCAGCTGAGCCGCATGATCATCAGAGGCTTTTTTTTTTTACTTTTAAAAGCATTTTTTCAGCCGAAGAGGTTGTAGAAAAAATGCTTTTAAAAGTTTTTTAAAAAGCCTTTGATGATCGTGTGGCTCAGCTGCGGGGGGAGGAGGGGACAGGGATTTTTGCTACCGGTTCTCCGAACCACCCTCCTCCATCGCTACCGGATCGGGCGATCCGGTCCGAACCAGGAGCATTTCACCCCTGCTTTCGGATAACCATGACCTGGATGACTGAGAATCTCCATAGACAAATGTCTTACAGCATCTTCCTTGTCCTGTCTTAAGGGAAGCCTATCCCAACACCAATTTTCCTGAAGCAGGGGGTCTCCAAACTTAGCAACTTTAAGACTTATGGACTTCAACATGCTGACTGGGGAATTCTGGGAGTTGAAGTCCAACAAGCCTTGAAGTTGCCAAGGTTGGAGATCCCTGCTCTTAAGGAACACAGGGTTAATAGAGCCTTGGTAGTACAGTGGTTTAAAGCACCCTGTTATTAACACAGCTGCCTGCAATTACTGCAGGTTCGAATCTTACCAGGCTCAAGGTTGACTCAGCCTTCCATCCTTTCTAAGGTAGGTTAAATGAGGACCCAGTTTGTGGGGGCAATAAGATGACTTTGTATAAATATACAAAAGGATGAAGGCTATTGCTTAACGCATTGTAAGCCGCCCTGAGTCTCCGGAGAAGGGCGGCATATAAATCAAATTAAAAAAAATAATAATAACTCTCATGCTGGCTGAGAATTTAGGGAATTCAACTGGATTTAATGGACAGCAATGACACTGCTTTGCAAACCTTTGTTACCAACTATGTACCGTGTTTCCCCGAAAATAAGACCCTGTCTTACATTTTTTTTTAACCCCGAAATAAGCGCTTGGCCTTATTTTCGGGGAGGTCTTATTTTGGGACGTGTGGAACAAGATGGGGCTCCTCTTGCCGTCTTACCTGATTTCCAGCTCTGCGTTTAAATATTTTCGGGGAAGTCTTATTTTCAGGGGGAGACTTATTTAAGCACATGCGCTCAAAAGCCCAATTGGGCTTATTATCAGGGGATGTCTTATTTTCGGGGGAAACAGGGTATATGGTTTTGTTACCAACACGGTGTGTTAGGAAAGGAGAAATGCATCTGATGCAGCCAGTGATGAAATTGAGAACCGTCTGTTGCTTTCCATTGGGCCGTCCGTTGTCCTCAAGAAAGTTCTCCCTTTAGAAGCACTGAAATAATATTTGAATCCTATTCTACTTGGTTCCAAAGTATGGAATGGGTGGGTGGGTGGATGTGGAGGGTTTTTTTTGCTCATCCTTGGCAGCAGAATGGCTCAAGACCCTTCTATGTACAGATAGTCCTTGACTTAAAATCACTCATTGAGTGAAGTTAGTGTCCCAAGGTCATGTGATCTCCTTTTGAGACCTGGTGACAAGCAAAGTCAACAGGGAAGCCAGATTCATTTAAGAGCTATGTTACTAACTGAACAACTGCAGTGATTCACTCAACAATGGTGTCAAGAAATGGGACAAAACTCACTTAACAACTATCTCGCTTATCAACAGAAATTTGGGGCTCAGTTGTGTCCATAAGTCAAGGACTACCTGCATATAGCAGCATAATCATTGACAAAATTCCTCTTGCACGCCAGATGCCAAACCAAACTGTCGGCCGAGGTGTCCTTCTGTCTTCAAATTTTGGGGGATCCCTGTTCCTAATGGCTCTGTTGCTCTTTCAGCCACGATTCAAAAGCGCTTGAAAAAGGAGAAGAAAGCAAAGAGGAAATTACAAGAAGCTCTGGAGTTCGAATCAAAGCGGAGAGAGCAAGTGGAACAAGCACTGAAGCAGGCTACGACAGGGGACGGTCTCAGGATGCTGAATGGTAAAAGGATCTTCTGGATCTCATTTAATCAGCTGGGGGAGGCAGTTGAGTAAGAGTCAAATCATCCACGGTGCTTTGAGCTTCTTGGGGAAAAAATGGGGATGCAAGGTTAAAAAAATGGGGATACAAGGTTAAGAGCCGCGGTGGCGCAGGGGTTAGAGTGCAGTACTGCAGGCTACTTCTGCTGACTGCTGGCTGCCTGCAATTTGGCAATTCAAATCTCACCAGGCTCAAGGTTGACTCAGCCTTCCATCCTTCCGAGGTGGGTAAAATGAGGATCCAGATTGTTGGGGGAAATATGCTGATTCTGTAAACCGCTTAGAGCAGGCTGTAAAAGTGCTGTGAAGCGGTATATAAGTCTAAGTGCTATTGCTATTAACAAATCTTCCAATATGATTACATTCTCTGCATTTCATGGTTGACAGCGATATGAATGTTATGCTTGGCAGATGCTGGGATTCCGGAAATGGAAGTTGACCACAACGGGACTCAACATGAGAATGCGGCAATGCAAGGTATGTGGTCTTGCAGGATATATCCTATACTCTATTGAAGGAATGTCAGTATGATACAGCACAATAAGCCCTCTCCTTATAAAGGACAATTAAAAATCTACATGGGTTAGAACTTAAATCACTAAAACTCCAACCTCTTGGTCTCTCCAAACAAAAATTCCCACCAATGGGCTATGAATGTGAACTTAGTGCATTTCAACAGGGTATTAAAGATCAGGAAGTCCAATAGTCCCATCTGCTCTACCCAAGAACGTTTTCTTGAGCAGGCATACACCACCCCCTCCATAAACCACCGAGATATTTATATCATATAACTCTCTCTAAATTTTAAAAGATCTAATTCCAGGATGTTGTAATGCCCTCTTCACAGCAGCCAATCCAAAAAAGTTTTCTATAAGGAAGGTGTCCACGAGTGGCCTTGCAAAGGTTCAAATAGCCCAGCAGTAACAAACGCAGGCTAGAGAGACTGAAGCTGGCCCTTTAATAAATAGTTCTCTTCCAAAGCGTATTTCAGTCCAATAATTACCAGGCAATGTTCCAAAGGTCTTGGCAGACGGCCAGCAGGCTAATGCAGGAATGCAGACTCTTGTCAAAAGAGTCTCCTCAATTCCAGGTTGCTTCTCTCCTTGATTAGTTTCCATCCATTGTTTCTTGTCCTGCCCTCTGACAAAAAATATAACCACTTACCTGACAAATATCCAAGAAATTCTGATCTACGTATCATTCTTCCGATCAAATATGTAGGCTACGGTTTCTCTGAACATAGTTCCATTTTGTTCTATTGCCTGCAAAATTAGGCAGACTTTGATCACTTATCAATGATTCCATCATTAATTACAGTCTACCATTATGTCTTGTCTTGTTTTCGTTCTGCTTTATTTTAATGTTTTAATATTTATTCTAGTCTGCGACCAGAATAAAAGATCGAATTGAACTGAGTACAATCTTGCAATATTTCTGTACAGGTTGTCCTTGACTTATGACTGTTCGTTTAACACCCGTTCATAGTTCACAACCAGTGGTGGGATTCTACCAGTTCGGACCGGTTTGGGCGAACCGGTTCGCTCCAACAATCAGGTTGCGCCCCCCCCCCCGCCCCTGCTCTTTGCTTACCTTTATCTTCTCAGCTGATCGACACCTCAGCTGTGTTACTCCCAAGTGGTAACACCAGACGGTTAGTATTTGTAAAACTGTGCATGTGCGCAAAGCGCACAATCCCTGAACCGATTGTTAAACCAGCCGCATCCCACCACTGGTTCCAACGGGCTACTTATGACCTGTCCTCCCAAGTTAAGACAGTGATTTAGTCATCATTTGGATATCCAATTGCCCATCAGACTGCTAATCCGACGGAAAGATTTCAATTTAAACCCTCGGGGTACTCCGGTGTCCATAATTCACTTGCAGCCAAACATGGGAACAGCAGCATCAGTTTGTTTTCATCAACCAATCTCCATTTCCTATAAAATAAACATCCCGGGTGTCATTAAGAGCACCTTCAGATCAATGATTTTTGCAAATGACATTCAAGGACCGTTTGAGGACTGCCTCTCTTTTTGCTGATAAAAGCAAATTAAATTAGCGTAACTATGAGCCGCGCTGATAAAAAAAACGGGGAAGCCAAAAACAGCAGCGCCATTAGCGAACAAAGTAATATTTTCTCTTTACTGCTTTCTGCCATTTAGTTATTATCCTATTGGAAATCTAATTATAATCCTTTTTACTCCCCAGTCAGACTTCACAGTTTTTGCAAGCTTAGCACTGACATGTGATTTCATTAGATTTGATCGCTTGCGCCCAGATTGACTTCACTTCAGTCGGAGACCTAAAAGGCCTCTCGGATTCCCTGTTTGCACATCAAGGCAACAGCTCCTTTAATTAATTAGCATGAACTGCAGTAACGTGAACTGCTGAACAGAAAATAACGCCGTTTTACGAGCGCAGGGTGGTTTCGTCTTCTTCTGAGTGTGGATACCTTAGTTAACGTTGGCGAAGCGATAGGTGCAAAGGAAGGGGAAAAAAGATCACTCCTGCACATTTTTCATCTTTTTTTTTAAAGCTGATGCCCTTTTATAAGGCAAATGCATGAGAAATGTGAGAATGTGGGGGGAAAGGGGGGGTTGACCAGAGAGAAGAAAACTGTTGTGACCCAGGCCCAAGTAAGTAGTAGGAAAATCGGTCCGTGAAAAAACAAACTTTATTCGAACAGCTGAGAATTACTTCATTCCCAGCGTCGTTCAACTAAATTAAAGCAAATTCCTCCCAACACAAATTCTTCAGTCCTATCTCAAACCTTGGTCCAACTAGGCAAACTGCCAAAGGCCTTTCTTGGCAAACATTCAGAAGTCCCAGATACAAAAATAAATACAAGACGTAGACGAAGACGAAGCTACCAACGTTGTTTTCTGGCAAAGCCCAAACGCCGTTGCTGGTTTGTTTTAAGCCTTATGGGAGGGACCAATCATCTCTTGGCCCTACTCCTGAGTTGTCCTTTTTGCTTGAGCTGCTCTTGCCTTCTGGCAGCTCTTCTCATGCGTGCATTAGGAACAGGCTCCTCCTGTTCCTCTGCCTCACTCCTATCAGTCTCTGGAGGCTCTGGAGTCCGCACCTCACTCCCCGATGGCCCTGGCCGCATCTCTGCCTCTGACGCAGAGCCCTCATCCAGACCTTCCCCAGCCTCCAGGACTGGCCCATGTTCTTCCTCAGCCTCATCACTGTCCGACTCCGCTGCCAGCTCCGCAGGTTGCTGGTGGACCACAACACAATCTAGAACTTCAAGGAGAGAAGCAACCTGGTCCCCAACCAGTGGTGGTACTCAGCCGGTTCGGACCGGTTCAGACTGGTTCGGGCGAACTGGTAGTGGCGAGCACGGGTGGGCCGCCCCGGCGCTATGCTGTTCTATTTAGCCATATTTTCTAAGCCGCATACATGCGTGCAAGCCGCACACGAGCAAAGCGCATGTGCATAAGGCCGGACGCATGCACGGAAGACATGCGCGCAGCAAACCAGTGGTAAAAATATGTGAAAACCACCTCTGTCCCAAACCCCCCGGTCCATGGAGTGGCACCGGTCAGTTACTGGTCCACTCAAACAAGCGAAGCCGCATCCGCGGGATGCAAGCAGCATTTGAAACCACGCCCCTTCCAGTCCACGGAAAAACCTTTCTCCATGAAACTTGGTCCCCAAAAGATTGGGGACCACTGACCTAAGAACTAAGGAGAAATTTCCTGACAGTTAGAACAATCAATCAGTGGAACAGAAGTGGTGAATGCTCCAATACTGGAAGTTTTTAAAGAAGAGATTAGATAACCATCTGTCTGAAATGGTGTAGGGCAGTGATGGCGAACCTATGGCACATGTGCCGGAAGTGGCACACAGAGTCATCTCTCTGGGCCCGCCAGCCATTGCCCGTTGTTCTTCTGGGTTCTGGCATGCACATGTGCACCGGCCAATTAGTCTTCACGTACACAGGAGCACCAGAAACTGGAAGAGCAGCTCCCTGGTGCGCATGTGCGAGCTGGGAAGTTAAGATTCTGGTTTCCAGCGTGACCATGAGTGTCGGCTAGCTGATCTTCGCGCACGCATGCACGCCATAAATCGGAAGACCAGGTGACAGGCGCGCACGAATGCACGTGCCGGAAACCAAAAGCTTAGCTTCCTGGCACGCACATGCGCGCCAGGGAACTGCTCTTCCTGTTTTCACCGCTCTCCCATGTGCACGCGCATACTCCTGTTTTGGCACTTGGTGCCGAAAAGTTTCATCAACACTGGTGTAGGGTTTCCTGTCTAAGAAGCTCGTTGGATGAGAAGGCCTCCAAGGTCCTTTCCAACTCTCTTATTCTGTAATCAGAACTTCAAAAGTGATTGTAACTCCATCGTCCCAGGTAACTTTGAACGGCTGCTAAGCGGCCAGTCGTAAGTCAAGGGCTACCTGTATAGCATACTATATTGCAAATCCAGAATCCGGGATGCTTTCCTTACGCAGTATTGATTGAGGTTGTGAGAGAGAGACATAATCTTGAAGGTTAAAAGTTCCCACTTCTATTTTTCCTCTGTGACTCCAAATATGGAATATCCAAATATTATTAACACAGCATCGTCGGCTCTGGGCAAGACAGGCGGCTTACAAGTTTTAATACCTAACTCCATAAAAATGAAATAAATACATTTGGATGAAAGGCAAAACGGGCGAGATCTTTCTTCAAGTCATACAACATAGTTATCTTTTTCTAAATGTCTTGCTTATTAAGGCAATCGTGCATTTCATAGGCAGGTTATAAAAGTCTATCGTGCACTGGGGCCTCATAAGCATATTTTAGTGTTAGGGAATATCATTTACACCTTTTTTAATACTGTCAATATGACCTCTAGAGAATTCCACTCCAACTACTGTAAATCCATTCTTTTGCTCACCTTTGTCTAATTCCCTTTTTAAAAGAGCGAGTGGATATTTGATTATGGCATAAAGCTAAAAAGAGAGTACATTTATGGCCCAAAGATTTATTTAAAATCTTGTCGGTAGTCCTTGACTTAAAGGCAGTTTAGGTAATAATGGTCCAGATTTACAACAATCTTCCCCACTCTCCTTAGTCACCCTACACTCCTTACCTGGGACTCTGTCCACTTAATGACCCATAAGATCACGTAACAATCATTAGAATTTAGATTAGATTAGAATAGAATTCTTTATTGGCCAAGTGTGATTGGACACACAAGGAATTTGTCTTGGTGCATACGCTCTCAGTGTACATAAAAGAAAAGATATGTTCATCAAGAATCATAAGGTACAACACTTAATGATAGTCATAGGGTACAAATGATACAAGCAACAAAATTACAGTCATTACTAGGAGTTCCAGGATTCATTGAGAGAAGCAATCACATGTCTGTGACTGATTGTTTCGCTCAACAACTAAAATTCCAGTTCTATTTGTGGTTGTAAATTGAGGGCTACCTGTATATATCTATGGAGATTTTCAAGTCATCCAGGTCATGGTTGTCCCAAAGGTGCTTTTTCAAGAGAGGCAACTGGACTTTCTGGTTTTTCTTTGAAGACGTTTCGCTTCTCATCCATCTATCCATCTTCAACACCATCTATCTCCAGTCGACAATACAGTCCTTTCAGCAGTTCCAAGAAGGCTCCACACCAGAGGTGAAATCTACTTACCTTCCCTACCAGTTCGGAAGTGCATGCATCACATGCGCACAGGGACCCTCTGCGCATGTGCAAGCCCTTCTGCGCATGCCCAGAGGGTAAAAAAGGGGTTACTTCCTGGTTAAAACCAGGAAGTAATGACGACAGGGCGGGTGGATGGAGTCTCATGCTCCCATCGCTACCGGTTCTCCGAACCACCTGCCGCCATCACTATCAGTTCAGTCAAACCGGTCCAAACCAGTAGCATTTCACTCCTGCTCCACACCCATTTGCACCACTCAGGTGATCCTGATGACACAGATTAACCTCCAAGCAGCCTCAATGACTCTCTAAAAGGATGCAAATGACCAGCTGTCTGCAAGGAATATAAATCCTTCCATTCCCCACCATCCAGTCAAGAGCTGAAGAAGCTTCTTGGATGAGAAGCGCAACGTCTTCAAAGAAAAAAACAGAAAGCCCAGTCGCCTCTTGAAAAAGCCCCTTTGGGAGGGCTACCTGAAAAATGCTAGAAAAAGGAAATATCAGTAGGTCAGGGGTGGGTTCTACTTACCTTCACTGCCGGTTCGCAACGGGATTGTGCACTGGCTTTGCGTGGGCACACGCCTTGCTTCTGCGCATGCGCAGATCGCCGATGACGACATCTGGGGCAGTGGGCGGGGCCTCTCGCCGGTTTTACTACCGGTTCTTGCGAACCTATCCAAACCGGGGGCAACCCACACTGCAATAGGTGCAGAATTTATTGGATGGATTTTTGATCCATCTTTTAGTCGTCCTTTAACCAGGTAACACAGAGAGAGAGTTAGAAAAACAGAGTTGGGCAGATTTGGGAAGAACTCATGATCATGATGATTATCAGTACTCATATTTAAACTTGTATGCTGCCTGATTTCCAGAGACAAAACCATTACATCACAGGATTTTTTTAATAGCATTTCCTACTCAAGTACAAATACAGACTATCTCGGTTGGGAAAATATCATATCACTAATGTTTGGTAATGGAAAACCTGGAGGCCACCAAGTTACTTGACCCTATCTGTGAACTGCCATTGCATCATTTTGTGGCCTCTGTGGTTGCCCTCCATTTTTGATCTGGGATAAAAAAAAAAAGAGTGGGGGGAAGAGTTCCATCATAACCTTCTCTTGATATCAAGGCAAAGTCAGAGAAGCTGTAAACTAGTAAGAAAAGTGATTATCCAGTGGAAAACAGAATGCTCACCCGTCCTTCTCAGCCAACTCATATTTAAGGTAAAACTGAGAAGCCCATCAAAACATCCTTCTCCTTTGAAAGAAATATTGAAAGGAGGGGTGGTTATTTTTTTTTTTGGCCCATCACATTGAATGATAGCCGTTGCAAAAAAAAAGCAACGCTTGAATGTTGTCACTTGAGAAGGAAAGAGAGAGAGAGAGAGAGAGACAAAGAGGTTGATCTCCGAACACCAGCTCCTTCACAATTTGAGAGGGGAGATTCAGTCCCGCTCAAGGAATTCTAAACTGCCAGGGTTTCTATCAACATGATGCCCACACGGCAGAAATGGATCTTCCCGAAACATGGGACGTGAATAGGAAATCGAAGGAGTGGATAGAGCAGGGGTGTGAAACTCGATTTCATTGAGGGCGGCATCAGGGTCGTGTTTGACCCACTCAGGGAGCTGGGTGGGCGTGGCCAGCTCGATGTCACTCATGTCGTGGGTGCCTGTGGTGGCCCGAGCGCTCTGCTAGCGAAAACTGAGCTCGGGAGGGCCGCACGCAGCCCTCCCGAGCTCCGTTTTCCCTGGCAGAGACACCGCGGGCTGGTCCTTCATGGTTTCCAGGGCGGCCCCACGGGCCAGAACTAAGCACCCTGTGGGCCGGATTCGGCCCTCGGGCCTTGAGTTTGACACCCCTGGGATAGAGAATATCTAAACTTTTTTTCCCATTTTTTTTTAATTTTTAATTTTCTTTTAATACAGACATTCCATCTTTCATTAAACAGTGTGTCGTCAGCAATTATTTGTGTCTTAACAATTAAACTTACCACCATGTTCATTACTTACATTCATTCTTATATTAATACTAGATAATAATAATAATAATAATAATAATAATAATAATAATAATAATAATATGACATAACCCTAGCATTTCTCTTAACTTATCTAATTTTACAATACATTGCTCTCATATTTATTCTCTAACCACTGATAAAATAACTCCCATATATTATAATAATCTGATTCTTCCTTTCCTTGAACTGCAAGTGTTAATCTATTCATTTCTGCACATTCTAATATTTTCTGCACCACTTCGCTTTTCCAGTTTTGTGCAAATACAATTCTAGCTGCGGTTATTACATGAATAATACAGATATACAATTTCTTTACTATAAGTTCCCGGTTAAGATCCCCAACAGGAATAGTTCAGGTTTTAAGTCAATATGTTGTTGCGTCATCTTCTCCAATCACATGGTGAAGTACCTCTTTGCTTCCGCATATGTCCATCACACATGACAATAGATCCCCGGTATCTCTTGACATTTCCAACATTTAGTTGCTTTATCTTTAAACATTTTTGCCAGTCTTTTGGGTGATAAATGCCACCTATAAAACATCTTATGTAAGTTTTCCTTGTATGCAGTTGACAGTGTTAATTTGTAATTCCTATCCCATATTTTTTTTTTTTCATTTCTAAGTGCCTCCAAAGCCCAGTTCCGTCCCCTTCCGCCATCCTAAGTTCCCAGGCTCCTGGACATTCCTGAAGCATTAATTTGTCTGTGATATTTATTCGTGTTTACGTTCAGGCTCCATCTTGGATCATTGCCGTTCCATGAAGAGGCAGGCCTTCTTTAAAACATGAAACGTTCAATTCCTAATTAGCCATTTCCTGTTTGTAATGGAGCGAACATGGCTGGATAGCGGATTGAAATTCATCTCCTGCCCTCATGTGTTTATCGTTCCAGATGTTTTTGTTTTAGCTAGGAGTTGACTTTGACAGCTCCCGTTAAATGATAAATCACTCATATTATAGCTGAAATGCATTTCAAAATTGAAATGTAACAAAAGTTGGCAATCGCTCCAAGGATATGTGTCATTTAGCTGGTCACTATAGGTTGCGTCCTAGGGTAGATTTAGTATTGGCATATGCAAATCCAAAAGGCGAGATCGGTCGATTCTTGGCACAAGCTTAGTTGGGTTGATCATTTTGACTGTGGTTTCTAAAATCAGAAGTTAGTAGCGAGGGCTTTCAATCTGTTTTGGTGGAAAAACAAATGCAGATTCCTTCGATTCTTTTAATGATTTTATTTATGTTTTCCTTTGACCTTTAAGCAAAAGCACTTAGACCTATATACCGCTTCACAGTGCTTTACAGCCCTCTCTAAGCAGTTTACAAAGTCAGCCTCTTGCCCCCAAACAATCTGGGTCCTCATTTTACCCACCTCGGAAGGATGGAAGGCTGAGTCAACTCTGAGCCGGTCAGGATCGAACTGCTGACAGTCGGCAGAATTAGCCTGCAATTTCAAATGCTTCATAACTGGTTCATATTTAGGATGAATTGTTCCGTGGTCATGTGATCCCCTTTTGCGACTTTCTGACAAAGTCAACAGGGGGAGCCAGATTTATTTATTTATTTATTATTCATATTTCTATGCTGCCCATTCTCCGAGGACTCTGGGTGGCTTACACCATAGACAGTATACCAAATAGCATATTGCCCCCAACAATCTGGGTCCTCATTTTACCCACCTCGGAAGGATGGAAGGCTGAGTCAACCTTGAGCCAGTGAGATTTGATCCACTGATCTGCTGAACTAGCAGTCAGCTGAAGTAGCTGCAGTACTGCATTCTAACTACTGCGCCACCTCGGCTCTTATGTTATTCACATAACAAATGTGTCCCTCATTTAAAAACTGCAGGGATTCACTTAACAAGGGTGGCAAGACAGGTCGTAAAATAGGGCCAAACTCAGTTACCAATGGTCTCACTTAGCAACAGAAATGTGGGGCTCAATTGTGGTCATAAGTCGAGGCCTGCCTGGTATTATCCTTGACACCGTCTGTTGTGTATGTCGTCTTCCTTAAAAAAAAAACAGACTTCTATTCCAGTTTTCAAGAACTTCACATAAAGACAACGGAATGGCAATATCCTTTCCCCCCCCCCCTTTTTTTTCTTTCTTTTCCAGAAAACAGAGCATACATCAAACCGACCATTATGTACTGAAGATGCCTAATTTGACATGTTTGTGTGGGGTGGGGGAGGGGGAGGGGGACATGTAACAGTCACTTCGGAAGATTATAAAACTCCTGCAAAGAAAATCTCTTTTTCAACTCTGGATACCCTTCGGTGCGGTGCCAGACTGGTAAAGGTTGCAATACGGACTCATAACAACTCCTGTGTTGAAGAATCTCTGCACCAGTCACTGAGAAATGTGGAGACTCGCAAGCTTGGCCATCCCAAACCTTTTGCAGCAGAACATTTTTTTAAGTCCTAGAAAAACAGAATGGGGAAAGAGTCCGTTTTAGCATTTTTAAAGCACATATCGGTATAAATTGCCTCTGTGGGAGGAGCAAGGGTGATGCAAATTCCCTGCATCATCACGATGCCAATATATACCCGTGTTTCCCCGAAAATAAGACCCTGTCTTATATTTTTTTTGAACCCCAAAATAAGCGCTTGGCCTTATTTTCGGGGAGGTCTTATTATTTTAGGGCGCGTGGAGCAAGACGGGGATCCTCTTGCCGTCTTACCCAATTTCCAGCTCTGTCTCTCTAATCCTAAATAGAGGAAATGGCGGGGACTGGGTGCGCATGCATTTAAATATTTTCAGGGAGGGCTTATTTTTGGGAGAGGGCTTATTTTGGGGGGGAGGGTTTATTTTCAGGGGAGGTCTTATTTTTGGGGAAACAAAATTCCCACCCTGGTTTTTGCAAATGAGGTTATGACACGTGTTATGACATATTGATGTCATCGTGGTTTGTTACGGTGCGTAACAGCCCCCAAGCGTTACCGCAGCCTTCCCTAACTTGGCGCCTTCCAGATGTGTTGGGAACACAGATCCCAAAAACTCAATGGGAGTATATATGAAACTGAGCCAGGTTGAGGATGGCTGTACAACTGTTTAACAATGGCACAATTAATTTAATAAGCTGCAGTGGTTTTTTCTGGCTGTATAATCTACATGTCCAGTTTTATCACTAAAACAGTTCGCCGCAGAGCTGTTTCAGTTGTGTTTATAAATTTAAGCTTTGTTTACTGAAGCTGAAAACTCAATATATATTGCGTTTTGAAGAGAAAAGTATGTACATTTTTTAATATGATAATGTAAAAATTGTCCTTCCTTGGATGACCAACTAAAAAGTGTGAACTAAATTCCAGTATTCAATGTAACAAGGGGATTATAAAACTGATGCTTTTTTAAGAGAAAAAAAATAACTCAGTTCTGCTTGGTTTTTAGTCTTTTCACACCGGGGACAAAGGAAGGATGAACATATGGTAGGATGTTAGATAATGGAAACTTTAAAATATAGTTTCTCTGTTGTATCATATTAAGTTAAAAGTACACATTCTTTGTTAAAATGTTCTTGCTAAAAAACTACAGTATTAAAACATTTTTGTTTGACTTTGGAAATGGCTTCATTTTTTTCGTCATGTTTTTAATGCTGGATTATGGTTATATGGATTATGGTTATACGTAGGGACGCAGTGGCTCAGTGGCTAAGATGCTGAGCTTGCCGATCGAAAGGTCGGCAGTTCAGCAGTTCGAATCCCTAGTGCCACGTAACAGGGTGAGCTCCTGTTACTTGTCCCAGCTTCTGCCAACCTAGCAGTTCGAAAGCACATCAAAAATGCAAGTAGAAAAATAGGGACCACCTTTGGTGGGAAGGTAACAGCGTTCCGTGCGCCTTTGGCATTGAGTCATGCCAGCCACATGACCACGGAGACGTCTTCGGACAGCGCTGGCTCTTCGGCTTTGAAACGGAGATGAGCACCGCCCCCTAGAGTTCAGAACGACCAGCACATATGTGCGAGGGGAACCTTTACATTTACCTTTACCTTTTATAGTTACTACATATTCATTTTACATTTTCGAGCAAATCAACTGAATCTGCTTTTCACACACCTACCAAAACAGTAATTTTTGGGTATTCACACTTGTCCAAATTTTGCAAATATTATTTGCAAAAGTTACATTTTAAAAAAAAAACAAACTTTATTTTAGGATTTCCCGCATAGAAAAAAGCCTTAAAAATACTTTCAAAAATTATGCAAGGCATTGAAACCTTGATTTAACAGACTATTCAGGGACTATTCCATTAAATCTGAAAGTCTGTTCTATCCAAATCTACATCATGCATAATTTACCTTAGTCTGCTTGCATAATTACATCATATACATTTAGTTAATAGTATTAGAATTATACCCCACATATTGGATCTCAAAAGCTGTCTATTTAATGCTCCTCATTACCTATAGGAGGTGACCAGGCTGAGCCCGAGAGAGGGGTCAAACGTGTCATAAATCCCTGCGCACCCCCCAAGAGATCTAAGCCAGCTCACCTTGAATGCCTTTCTTATCTCCCGCTCATTTCCCTTGACTGTTAGTTGGCCAGATTCTTGTAGAGAGCTTAAGCTTGCAGTAAAGCTTTATGCTCATTTGAACTATCCAAATCTCCTGATTTACCTGGTCCTTGACATTGCCTTCCACTTTAACTGGAGCCAATGCTCCATCTAAAAATAGGATGTCACTGAACATCATGAAGTCCAATAGACATCATAGCTTCAATTTTTGAAAAGCTCCAAGAAGGGTTAATAAAAAGCAATATTGTTAAAATTGAAACAACTCGTTTCAAAATCCAGCCCATACTGCAGAGCAAATGTGATCGTTCTAAAAGATAAGTCATCTTAGCATTTTTTTTTCTCCTCCTCAAAAGCCCAAGCTACTACATTTGTATTAGCTTGGTGAACACTTCATTGATTTCCTCATTTGCCCTTGCAAGAATAGTTTTAAATGTCAAAGTACCTGGCAAATGAGATTTAAGGAATTAAGAAACTCCCAAGACTGAATCTCTTGTAAAGTTGTTATTAGCTAGTGCCTGATAAATATTGAGTAACCAAAGCATCAGACTTTCATATCTCAAGCCGGTGTGATGTGCTGCGCACTGGTAAGTAATGTCACATTTGAAGGATATATAGAAAGTTAATTCATTGAAGAAATGTCTTAATTTAAGAATCCTGGCTAGGTGATGTGATCTAAATAAGATGTCCAACCAAGTTAGTAAAGATAAAGTAAAGGTAAAGGTTCCCCTCGCACATATGTCCTAGTTGTTCCCGACTCTAGGGGGCGGTGCTCATCTCCGTTTCAAAGCCAAAGAGCCAGTGCTGTCCGAAGACGTCTCTGTGATCATGTGGCTGGCATGACTCAACGCCAAAGGCGCACGGAACACTGTTACCTTCCCACCAAAGGTGGTCCCTATTTTCCTACTTGCATTTTTTACGTGCTTTCGAACTGCTAGGTTGGTAGAAGCTGGGACAAGTCACGGGAGCTCACCCCATTACGTGGCACTAGGGATTCGAACTGCTGAACTGCCAACCTTTCGATCGGCAAGCTCAGCATCTTAGCCATTGAGCCACTGCGTCCCCTAACCAAGTTACAACTTTCAAATATCTAGAAATGGTCCTCCAGGCATCTGACAGCTACACCACTTATAGAAAAACCATACTTGTATTATCTTCGCGGTCAATTCCATAACCATAAAGGTTCCAAGCACAATACAATATGTTTCCATCAAACATCTGGTGCCTTTTTCATCCCAGAAACCATACAACTCTACTCAACCAGAGTAATTCTTCAATTATCATATGGTGGCCAGATAGAACCGTACCGTAATGGTGCCACTTTAGAGACAGTTCAGTCTAAATTCTTAGAGAAAGTATTCCGGGTCCCTAGAAGCTCCCAGATATCTGAGAAGCTAAGAAGAAAAGCTGCACTGCTAAAAAAAATAAAAACAATTAGGAGGCCAGCCTTTCTGTGTCTTTCGTTTTAAAAATATGTTTTACCAGGTTGGCCTGATTCAACATATACTAGGCAATAACTCCATCACACATTGGAGAGTAATAATGGAAAACAAACTCCATTAATTAGGATTGTCTTGGGAAACCCTACACATGCTAGTCTATAATCAGGCAGGCAGAAAGATAAACTCATATATTAGATGCAGAATGACAAAACAGCTCAGCCTCTTTATCTAAGCATCTTCTCTTAAGCAGCTCTGCCTCTGGAAACCAGAAAGTTACCTCAACTATAAAACAATGCCTGAATATTTGATGGTTCCTCACCCTGGCCAGCTGTGCCTACTGGAAGGGAAATTCAGAAGAGTCCATTATAATGACAAATTATGTCCCTGTAGATCATAGAGAGGGACGCGGTGGCTCAGTGGCTGCTGAGCTTGTCGATTGAAAGGTCGGCAGTTCAGCGGTTCGAATCCCTAGCGCCGCGTAACGGGGTGAGCTCCCTTTACTTGTCCCAGCTTCTGCCAACCTAGAAGTTCGAAAGCAGGTAAAAAATGCAAGTAGAAAAATAGGGACCACCTTTGGTGGGAAGGTAACAGCGTTCCGTGCACCTTTGGTGTTGAGTCATGCCGGCCACATGACCACGTAGACATCTTCGGACAGTGCTGGCTCTTCGGCTTTGAAACGGAGATGAGCACCGCCCCCTAGAGTCGGGAACGACTAGCACATATGTGCGAGGGGAACCTTTACCTTTATACAAGATCAGAGAAATTTACATATGCCGGACAGAATGCAATCCTGACAGCCTAGAATGCTAGTTCATTCTGTTCAGGGCTTGTACATCTATCCTTGGTGCATCACAGGAGGGAACTAGCTTTACACCAATTAGCTGGTGGCACTTGAATTGCTGGCTTTTCCACGCACCTCCACCGATCTTGTCTTGCCTTGCATTGCAATGCCTCACGTCTGGCGCTGGCTTCTGCATTCCACACACAAGAATGTAGCTAGGTTCCCCCTCCCCCCACTGAAGTGGTACCTGTTTATCTACTCACAATATTTTCTGCTTTCAAACTGCCAGGTGGGCAGGCGCTAGGGATTGAGTGACAGGAGCTCACTCTGTCTCACCTCGCAACTGCTAGGTTGGCAGAAGCTGGGACAACTAATGGGAGCTCACCCCGTTTCATGGCACTAGGGGTTCAAACCGCTGAACTGCCGACCTTTCGATCGACATATGCTAAATAATGTGTTGGAATGACCCTCAAAATGCTGAGGAAAATGCCGTCATAAAGAAGAAAACTAAGCTGTATGTTCTTGCTAATTCTTATTAGCTTCTGCTTGCACTAATTAATAAACTACAAATCGTGGTAACGTTTAATCAAGAACAGAGCTACTTCTAACTGTCAAGTTACCTTTATCCCAAACAATTTAAACAAAGTTCACATCGTCTGTATTAATGAGTTGATGGTTAGGCTAAGTACACGTGAAAGCCATAAGGAGCTATAAAGTTCAGGAACTGGCACAAAAGAAAGATCAATTTGCTAGTATCCAAATTACCAGCAAGCCAAATGACCCATAACTGGTCTCCTATTACTATTATTGCAAACGGTAACACGATGCAATGGAACTTCACCTGATACAATCTTGAAAGTAGGAGACTGACTGAGCAGCTGATTACAAAAGAAGAAAAATAAGGTTGGAGTTGAGGCTGTTGACCTTTCTCCACTTCCTTGCCAAATCCATCGTAGCCACGTTTGTTATTTGTCCCATTTAGGTAAAGGTAAAGATTCCCCTTGCACATATGTGCTAGTTGTTCCTGACTCTAGGGGGCGGTGCTCATCTCCGTTTCAAAGCTGAAGAGCCAGCACTGTCCAAAGACATCTCCGTGGTCATGTGGTCGGCATGACTCAACGCCAAAGGGGCACAGAACCCTGTTACCTTCCCACCAAAGGTGGTCCCTATTTTTCCACTTGCATTTTTTACCTGCTTTCGAACTGCTAGGTTGACAGAAGCTGGGACAAGTAACAGGAGCTCACTCTGTTACGCGGCGCTAGGGATTCGAACTGCTGAACTGCCGACCTTCTGATCGACAAGCTCAGCGTCTTAGCCACTGAGTACCCCTACCTAATTGGAGTTTAGTAAAAAGTGTTAGCTTTGACCTACCTGGAAGTTGGTCAGTTTTAAAACCAAGACCTCCATAATTGATTTAAAGTAGGGGTCTCCAAACTTGGCAGCTTTAAGACTTCGACTCCCAGATTTCCCCAGCCAACATGGCTGACTTGGACAATTCTGGGAATTCAAGTAGACAAGTCTTAAGGTTGCCAAGATTGAACCAAGATTTGAGTTAAAGCGTTCCCCAGTCAGAGGTGAAATCCAGCAGGTTCTGATAGGTTCTGGAGAACCGGTAGCGGAAATAATGAGCAGTTTGGAGAATCGGCAGCAGAAATTTTGAGTAGTTCGGAGAACAGGCAAATACCACCTCTGGCTGGCCCCAGAGTGGGGTGGGAATGGAGATTTTGCAATATCCTTCCCCCAGGAGTGGGGAGAGAATGGAGATTTTGCAGTATTCTTCCCCTGCCATGCCCAAGCCACGCACACCAAGCCACACCCTGCCCACCA